CCATCTGGCTGTCTGGGTAAAGAAGATTGTGAGATGGGTTTCTGTTGTTTCAGATTGCATTGCATCTGTTGATAGAATGTATCCCTGTATGTCATGCTTAAATGTTGATTAGGTTCCAAGGCATTATGATAAAAATTTAGTTATGGATTTCAGATAAAGTATTTATGAGTTGAGTTCAAAAGTTTTCATGAACTAGACAATGTGCATATATAGATTTGTCAATTGTACTTTGAATTTATCATATAAAACTTAAAATACATTGGAATATAGTTCGAAAAACATTTGTATTCTAAACCAGGGATTGGCAGACTTTTTCTGTGTAGGGCTGGATAATAAATAATTTAGGCTTTGCAGGTACTAGGGTTATATTCAACTCTGCCCTTGTAGTGCAGAAGCAACCATACATGATCACATACAAACAAACAAGCGTGGTGGTGTTCCATTAAAACTTTACTGATGGTTGTTAAAATGTGAATTTTGTAGAATTGTCACAGGTCACAAAATGTTATTCTTTTGATTTCCACCCAAATGAAAAAACTTAGCTTGCAGCCATACAAAAATAGGCAGGAGGCCAGATTTGGCTTGTGGGCTGCTGTTTGCCAATGCCTGTACTACTCCAAAGAATATAACATATTTTAAGCTTATCAATAGATCCATTAACTTTGTAGTTTTTAGAGTCATTTTAGTATTTCAGATTTCATTACTAGAACCTTAAGAAGTTAAAGGATTAAGGATTAATGGAATCATTCAGTGAGCAAGGACTTCCTGAGTGATAATTGTGCTATAGCATACCAGTGAGTACTTGAAAGTAATGTTCTAACCTCAAGTAATTGATAAATGATTTGCAGAGTCAAAGTGGACATAATCTGAAACAAATAGTGAATAAATGGTCAGTATTACATAACATTTACAAAGTAGATAACTTTGTGTAGGAGAGAAAAGGGCTGGGGTAGTTAGGTAAGTGCTTATGGAAAGTAGGAAAGGGTCACAGTGAATGTTGGATGATTTAGATTAATAATTATATTTCTTCACTAAAATTTTTCTTGGTTATTTTAATTACATCAGATCACAGAAATGAAACCTTTAACTTCTGAGAATATCAATACTGTACAATTAGGGAGCAATATTTTGGGAGCATTTCCTTCATATAGAACACTGTACTCGGGTGTTTCACGTCCATATTACATCATTGAAATAAAATCTAGGTGAGCTTTTACGTGGATTTAAGTATAACTTAAATAAAGTTTTTATTTAAAAAGTTTTTAGCATTTATTAATGGCAATGATGTACGATAAAATGAGGTTCAAACAAATTGTAGGCAATCTGAGAATTAGTGAAAGAGTATGTTGGTTGAATGAATGAATGATTGTCTAGGGATTTAGCAATATATTGGTTTTCTAAGTGTGCAACTGTTTACTTCCACTAAAGCAGCGTCTATATACTCTTGATTGAACTTGTCTGCTAACTTTAGCAAGAAGCTGTAGCTAGGCATAGTTAGCATAATACAGATGACTGGCGTTGCTGTTTTTAGAAGAAGCAGTATGTCTGACTGGCTGGCATCTGTTTCTCTCTTTGTCATAACACGCTGGAGACAGTTCAATTTTCAAAATGTAGGTAGCCCTCAATTAAGAATTAATTGATATGTTTAAAATCACAGCCTATGATATAAAGCAGACTCAGGGACAATTTAGTTTAATTCAGGAATTAATTTTCTAGAAATAACCAGCTACAGTGAATTTTTCTCTTGCCTCATTTGGCATGGTAGACACGTGACCCTTACAAAAGAAGAATTTATTTTTATGGATTAGTAATTCTTTCTAACAGGTACATCGAAAAATCAGAGAAGATTCAGATATGGCACAAGATTCTCTGCAGTGCCTTGCCCAGTTAGCTTCTCTTCATGGACCCATCTTCCCTGATGAAGGATCACAAATTGATTATCTAGCACACTTCATTGAGGGATTACTGAATACTATCAATGGGTAGGTATACTTGCCCTTTCTAACTGAAAAAGGAACTCTTCATTTTTTCTTTGTGTTTAACAGTGGAGGAAAAAAAGAAACAAGTGATTTATTTTTTCCCCTTCTTATATTTTGAAGTTTATGAAGTATGGGTAATTCGAAGTTAATGCACAGAGACCTACCATTTAAAATGAGTAAGAATATTTGCATGTTTGGAAATGAGTTACTATAACTTTTCTATTACTGTCACTTAAAAATACTCATTATTTGGTTTGTAGAATTGAAATAGAAGATTCTGAAGCTGTGGGAATCTCCAGCATTATAAGCAACTTGATAACTGTCTTCCCTCGAAATGTTTTAACTGCCATTCCAAATGAACTTTTCTCCTCCTTTGTTAACTGCCTCACACACCTCACTTGCTCTTTTGGGCGAAGTGCTGCATTGGAAGAAGTGGTGAGTGACTGTTCTAAAATAAATTTGTGTTGTTCACGAGGAAATTTGCTGTGCTATTGGAACGTTTCTCATGACAAGCAATTATTTTAATTGAGTGCTAGCTATTGTTAAAATTACGTTTTTGTTTATATGTGCAAATTATTTGGCAACACAAGTTGGGTAAAATGACCTTTAAAAATGTGTTGATTAAAATTACTGTAGTAGGTGATATTTATTGGTCTTAAGATTTTAATTTTGAGAGAATTTAGTACCTGAATGTAGAAAACAGAAGGAAATGCTTATATTAAAAATTATGTGACTCTTAAATACAGC